GATTCTCCCAATTCGGTTCTCTGGGGTTCTTGCCTAACCTTGGACTTCATCTGATTGTTAAGATTGAAACATTTTCAACATAGGGAAGGATAGCTTTTCTCTTGACCCGCTGGGGTTACTTCTCTTCTCTCTTCTGGATCGTAAGGCCCGCTCGAATTCTCTTTAGCTGTACCCATTTACGTTGAAGGCCTTGTTCAGGTGATTGAGTCCCTCAGGAAGACTCTTAGGTTCACAAATACGTCGTGCTCTTCCAACCAAAGTTTTAATTACCCCTCTCTTTTGTTGTGGCTGGTGGTTAAAATTTCTGTTCAGGTACCTGTCTGTGTATGTGTTAGTTTCCTTTTCTCCCTGTGGCCCAATGTACCCTCTTCACGTCTGGTCACAAGAACATCTAAGAAGGCTAGAGTCCCTTTTGGGTTTCTCATTCCATTGCGAATTTGATTTTTGGGTCCAGAGAATTTAGATATAATAGAAAATCGTTTAGTGTCTCTTAACTATCTTGTCATAACGCGAAGGTATCATCAACATAACGCAGCCAACGATATGGTGAAATATAGGAATGTAGGCTTTCACGGCCTGGTTGGTTTCCAGGTTTCGCCGTGATCTCCAAACGTTTCAACTGCAACTAGAGCAGCCATCTTCAGTTCCGTAACCAATGAAGACCACGGCAAAACCCGCAAACCAACCAAAACAATATGGTGAAACCTATAATGACGAACTTCGTTCTAGAGGGAACTTCAGAACGCAGCAAAGTGCAACAATGAACAATACCTGCATTGTTAGAAGACCCTCAAGTCTTCGAGGTAACAACTAGTTTTCTATGCTTGTGTATCTCATAATCAAGTGTTATTCTCACTTGCTCTTGGATACACTGCACTGACAAAGGAAATTGAGCCAGATACTTGTAACTGGGCTCCATAAAATCGAAAAGACAAGAAGAATAAAGAGAAGGAAAAAGAACTTTCGCCCAAGATCTTTACCTGGGTACGCTAATGAGGATTTTCCTTTCTCACCTTCTGCGTTCAAGATGACGGGACTGAAGTCGTATTTAGCTCGCACTCCAGACACAAAAGCAGGAGGCCCGATTCTCGGAGGAGCCGTAAGTTACAACTTCGCTGTTTATTTCATTCTTGTTCGGCCTCAGAGAAGTCTTTTATTATCGTTTTTGGCAGACTCGAGAGCGAAACGAATTACATTTTCATTGGCACGATTTTACATGGAAATCGGCCGGTTCGCGAGGATAATTTATTCGACAGTGGACTCGTGAAATTTGTAAGGCATTCGACATAATTAGAAATTTATTTCTGCGATGGTTGAACATAAAAAAAACAATTAATAGCCAAAGGTTATTTTGCAAGTGGAATGATATAATTTCACTCTTTTGACAATTAATATTTCTGGTCCTGTATTAAAGAAATACAGGGTATTTCTTTAATGTCCCCCCTTCCTATTTTTCGAACGGGTCAACCAAGAAAATTGAAATTTGGGATAATGAAATTAATGAATGAATATTTCCTTTTGAAGTGAAATTGACAGGTGAAACTTCCAATATTGCGATTGGGCGCTATCTGGGAAAAAATGTAATGAAAAGGGGGTCTTGTGACACATTTTGAAGCTTCTGACGAATACTTCACAACCCTAGAATATGAAGTCAATATCTGCATCTACTACAAAATGGAGAAACATTTAATAATTTCCTGAAGACAAACACAATAATATCGATATTTCTAGAAATATTTCTTTTTATCTGCCATATGGCAGTTCCAACAACCCGATAAGGTTTGTTAAGTTATTTTTTGTTTATAAAAACGACAAAAAATATCAGTACGACAATGAACACCATTATTCAGTTAGAATATTCTCATTTAGTTTTCGGTTTTACTAGTAGAAAGGTACCACGTCAACAAGAAAACATTGAAGCGATTTATATTTACGGTCCAACGCGTAACTTTCATGAGACCGAAAGGATTTTCAATGAATTTTTTCCAAATCGTCCTATCTGTAGAAAATATTTGAGGGAACTTGTATCCAAATTCACAACTACCGGTAGTGTACATAACAAAAAGCCCTCAGGTCATCCGTCCTTTCCGGAAGAACAGCAAGTGCAAATAATTGGTGAGATGGTGGTAAATCCTGAACAATCTACTTATTCCGTCGTGAATGTTTGTGAGGTGTCTCCTTCTACTGTGTGGAGACTTTTGAAGAAGAATTTGTATCATCCATACAGATTTAAAATGGTACACCAATTAACTGAAGATGACCTGATTGAAGAACAGAATTCTGCGAAATCATGATGGAAACCATTGCAAGGCATCTTACCTATCTCCACAATATTCGTTTTAGTGACAAATGTACATTTTTTCAAACGGCAATGTTCACAGACAAAATTGCCGTTATTGGAGTGACACCAACCCTCACATTTTCCGGGAGACACATACCCAATATCCAGAAAAAATTAACGTTTGGCCGGAATATTGGGAAACCATATTGTAGGACTATTATTTATCAACCAAAATTTAACAGGGGAACTGTATTTGAATATGCTGGAAACTACTGTTGACCCTCTCATCACTGAAATCGTCGAAGCGAATCCTAATGAATTCGATATGGATATTGTATTCCAACAAGGTGGAGCACCACCACATTACTCCAGGCAAGTAATAAACTATTTGGATACTACTTTTTCCGGTCGTTGGATTGGCAGTCGAGGTCTTACAGAATGGCCAGCCCGCTCGCCAGATTTTCAACCTTTGGACTTTTTTCATAGGGCTGTTTGAAGCAAACGTTGTAGGAAACTGAACCTGCTTCAATATTGGATATACAGCAGAGAATAATAAATATTTGTAGAGATATTGACGTTACTGTGTTCGAAAATGTTCGGCGTGAAATATCGGATAGGCTGCTCATATGTTGAGAAGTTCAAGGCAACCATTTCAAGCATCTTCTAAACGAACCTCAAGCTTTTTACCTCATATTATGTAGTTAAATGTCAATGTATTCAGGCAATTATTGAAATTTCCGCCATTTCATAGTAGTTGAAGTTGGAGATATTGACATTATATTTTAGAGTTGTGAAGCATTTGTCAGGAGCTTCAAAAAGATGTGTCACAAGACCCCCCTTTCCCAGTCGCCATCTTGAAAGTTTCAGCTGTCAATTTCACTTCAAAATGAAGTATTCATGCATTAATTTCATTATCCCAAATTTCAATTTTTTGAGTTGACCCGTTCAAAAAATATAAGGGGGGGACATTAAAGAAATGCACTGTATACAGGGTGTAAAATTGGTACGTTAAAATATTCAAGTAACGCATTACAGAAACAATTTTAGTAAAAAAAGTCTATATGAACTTGTGTCCGGAAATGCTCCGTTCTGGAGATACAGGGTGTTGAAATTGAATTTTTTTGTTCGTTTTTTCAAAAATAACTGTTGCAAAAAATAAGATATTTGCACGAAAGTTGGTACCTGGGGTTTTTTGACGTAGAAAGTCATAATTTTGTATTAATTTTCATGTAACATCTAGAGGGCGCTGCGTACGCTGTCATTATATAATTTAAATGGCCCTAACTTTTGGTACTTCTCTTCAAAAAACCTGATTTCCACTTTTTTCAAGTGAAAAAGGAGATCTTCGAAAACTACAGACACCAGATTATTTAGCTCCTAGGTATATAGTGCATGGATATCGTCAACAAAAACAACAAATGCTTATCGAAAAATTATTCGTTTTCGAGATAAAAATAACTGAAATTGCAAAAAACTAATGACAAAAACCAACCATGTTTTGAAAAATGTCAACAATTACTATCTCGAAAACAAATGATTTTTCGATAAACATTTCATAGAAAAAAGTTGTTTATTTTGATGAGATCCACCACATACTTAGTTTTTGTAATGTTCTCAACAACTTCACTTATCGCCCTAGGAGCTAGGTAATATGCATCGATATAGATGCATACGAAAAGTACCAAAAGTTCACTGACAATTTAAAATAAATAATAGCGCTTCCTAGATGTTACATAAAAATTAATAGAAAATTGTGATTTCCCACATTGGAAAAACCTCGGGTAACAAATTTCGAGCAAATAACTTATTTCTTGTAGAAGTTATTTTAATATATTTATCAAAAAAATTTAATTTCAATACCCTGTATCTTCGAAACGAAGCATTTCGGAACTCAAGTTTATATATAATTTCTTTTTTTAAATTGTCCCAGGAATACGTCACTTGAATATTTTAACGTACTTATGTTACACCCTGTACAGGTTAAAATCGAGTTTTTGTATAACTCTTTCCGTACCTACATCAAATGAGGAATAATAAACCTGTTGATTTTTATTGAAATAAAAAGAATGAGGAATTGACCAAATTTTATTATAAAGCCCTTCATATATTTTCATTTTGATTTTGAAGTCACGAGTTATTGAAACACTCATTCTATACAGAGCGGAGGTAAATAGCCCCCTCCACTCTCAACTTTTGAGCGAGACAAAACAATAAAGTCGTACAGAATTTACATAAAAATATATTATTTTCAGTACTTTTTATAACAATAGTAACAAGAGAGCTCTACCACATTTTTTTCAATCTGATAGGTGTTCTCATTTGACTTTTTCTCTATCCAACAATTTTTTTTTTCGGAAAATCTGATTATTTTTTCCTGAGTATGTGAATTTTTGGGTCTAACGAAGCTCGATGTTTTCAAGTTTTAGGTAGGTATCAACTTATCTCTCGTCGCCGAAAATTTCAGATTGAGGCATTGATTCCTAAACTCCTATAATCTCTTTCTACGACACTTGTTGGAAAGCATATAATTTATCTGGAAACATTTTGGATATTCCAATTCTTTTTACGCAAAATGATATTTTTCTAATATTTGACCCATATTTCCTGAACTATAGGAGGAACGCAAAAAATTCATTGAAGTATTTTGTTCACTTCTTCTATAGGAAAAAATTGTTGAATGGTGTTTTTCGATATTTAGAGTTTTCAGTTGCAACATTTCTACACTTTGACGAGTTGAATAATTGGAATTGAGTGTAATAATTAGAACTCACAATTTCTTAAAAATGCCCCGAACTATTACAGTTATAAGAAATAAATTTCAATATTTTTTTTGTGGTTGTCTCTGATTCGCCCAACATTTGTTAAGTAGAAAAATTAGATATTCACAGTAGTTTCGAAGTTACGGGCGAAATTAGATTTTGAAAAATCGTGGATATTTTCTGTACTATTGAGTTACAGAACCAGTTAGGTTGTTTGTGTCACCAAGAGTAATAAAAAAGTTGTTATCAAATTGTATATCACTCGAAGTATCAGAAAAAAATAATGGAAAAATGGCGAAAAAAAGCTTTTCTTATTCTTCAGAAACTAATGGGATCTGGAGGTCACGATTTCAATTTATTCTCAAGAAAATGAAAAAAAAAATGACACGACAACCCAATGAAAAATCTAATACATTTTTTATAATTTCAGGTGAATCTCGTACGTGATGGGTCAAGAGCCAAATGGCTCGCAAGAAAGAAATATCACCAATTCACCGACTGTGGCCAGCGCGACCACCACACCTGATCCCTATTATCAAACTTACGATGTTATGACCGGAGTGCGCATAGCTGCCACTTTGGGCAGTTTTTTTGGCCTAATGGTACTACTAGTACTCTACAAATCCAAGTCAAAGACTGAAAAGGCCATGGAAGACCCAAAGTTCACCGCTGCTGCTATAGCTGAGGTAAATAATTGACAAAATTTATTTTTCACGTTGAGAATATGTCGTTACTGAGTTCTATCAATATAATTTTCTACTGTCCACTTCCTGATTCTTTTTGTACTTCATGATTCTTTGGTGAAGGTGGTGGTGGTAGTTTTTGCATACCTCATAGACTCTTTTAGATAAGTTGGCGGTTCCTAAGATGAAGAAGTCCTCGCATCGTCGAGAATGAACAGGTAAACATTGAACTCTTTACTAAAGAGTATATTCGTAGCAGTGACACAAAATATCCCTCTTGATCTTGGTGTGACTAAATTTGAATATCGCTTCCTTTTTGAGAAAACAAAGTAGCTATGTTTGTCTGCTCATCAGTTGTATATTTTCTCCACAATACTGCGAATTCCTCCGCAGCTATGCTCCAAAATCACCCTTGATGAGAATGAAGTTCTAATTGGACTCCAAGTATATCGAAAAGCTTTTCTGTATTTTACTATTTTCTCAGTTCAGGAAGAGAACAATCCAGACGAGGGTTTGGTATATTAAAAGGTGATTTCTCTTTGATAGTATTTGCATAGTATCTTGGATTTTCCAGATTACTCGAGTCATTTTCGATACTGGCTCATTGGATTCGAGTTATTTTTGATTTTTCTCTTCAACTAGTTCTGGTCTTTCTCTTTCATGTTGTTCAGCAACTTTCTTTTTGTTTTCCTCTTTAATATTATAGTCATTGATTTCTTCCAAATCTTTTTTATTGTTATTGATTGAAGAGCGATATGAAAGTAATGAACATTCAATCTCATGATATTCTCATTCAATCTCATGATATTTTTTCGAAATAACTCCGTTCGGTACTAATATACTATTCTTTCTACTTTCCAAACAGGAAATCATTTTGGAGATTCCTCTAGAACTTTTCCTTAACTTGATCTGTCTAGTTACCGCATATACTAAGAGGTGAAATCTTTGGAAAAGAAAGTTTTTGGCTTTCTACTACTCCATCTCAATACAAAAAAGATGAGGGAATCTTCCAAAGAAAGTATACCAGTGAGGATGACAGTGTTCCATGTATAAGTGCAATTTGTTACCATTCATTTAAAGTAGAACTCATGTGAATGATATCTGATTTTATTCCACAACGAATGTTTGATATACAAGTAAAAAAAAATTTTTTTCTTTCGTGTAATTCAATGTTTATATGAAAATAGCTGTCTTTCAGTTTGTGTCTGAAAGTTACTTCTTTGCATGATCTTCACATCCATGTATAGAGTTTCAAATTGATTACTTCCTTCTTTCTTTGGAAGATTCCCTTATCTTTTTTTGTATCGAGATGAAGTAGAAGAAAGCCAAAAACTTTCTTTCCCAAAAATTAATACTCCTAAAAATATAACCCCTTCAATTCAAATAAGGTGAAATCTATTACGTCTAGCAGGTTGCTAATATCGCACACTACCATATGATAGCCTAGACATGCGGCGAGCTCTAATATGATGATTTATCTTTGAGATGAATAGCCAAAGTTACAAATTCATCACGTCTCATATCTCACTCATGTAGATTACCACAAATTTTGATCTTGAAGCCAAATGCCATAATTATATTTTGACATTATTTTACCAGGCTGCTCACTTTGAGTAACCCCAATAAATCAATTCAATGTAGACTATAGAACACATCTTGTTGGACTACATTTCAGGTTGAAGCGGAAGAAAGGCAGCTGCAACTAGCTCTAGAAGTTACAGCTTACCAACAACTGAATCCTAGGAAGTCGAGGAGATCTCTAGATATTTCTAGTATGCCTGTGGGGTGGAGTAGGAACTCGATGAGGTTTTCTTCAGTTGGAGGTTATAGCAGCCTGCTGGATCCACCTACCAGGCCTCACTCCAGACTACCGAGCTTCATTGATGAAAATTCGCCTCCAGAAGAGGCAGGATCCTTATACGAAGATGTTTATTATAACAGGTGAGTACTTAATTTTCGGTTTAGACTGAAGTTCATCGTAATATTCACATGTATTACATTCGGGACGTTATTCCAAATTCCATGACATGACATGAACTCTCTTCAGACAGTTATAAACAAGCTTTCCAATTGAAACTTTATCAGCCAAGTTGGCATCACCAGAACATTATAGTTACTAATTATTTCAAACTAGTCCTATCGTAAACCCTTACCTAGTCTCACCATAATTTACGAGTTTGTTATGTTTTTTGGTAGCATTATGAAAATTACGCTAAACTTACAAATTGTGTCGTTACCTCTTTTTCATCACGATTGCTCTATCTAGAGAGACAGGTCTGCAATGCAAGTCCTCTCAGGATCTCTTTCATTAATCTGTTCATGTTGGCAGGAGAATTACACAGTATGAGTGGAAGAAATGTACAGTCCATTCATAGCGGAAAATGGTGGCTTTTCAATTCCTTCAGAATGAACTCCAACTTGTCAGTAACCGCTCTTCAGGTCCAGGTTGAAAAAATAGCATAGTTGAGCTAACCTTACGGATATCGATAAATAACTTTTATGCAGATTGTATTTTGACAGAGACTTATCAAATCTTTTATTTACTTTGGCTTTTTCAGATTAAAGTAAAAGGAAAAGGTGAAAAATATGGACAAGTATGAGAAACTTACACATTTTTATATTCAATATTTTTTGTTGTTGGTTTTCCAATTTCATTAATAATGTTTGATGTAATGAATAAAACTATAAATGGTAAATGGAAGATTTAAATTTCTCATGCAGAAATCGCTTATACACTTGCCTTTTTGCAGCCACCTTGAAGTGCCAAGGCGTCCTAGCAACATCACTTGCTCATCTTCAGGGAGTTCCTACTTGGAAAGAAGAGACTCGGCAGTAGCCCTAGGATTTCCTGCCTTACCTGCGCACAAATCCAAATCGTTCCGACGACAGTCGTCCCCTCTGCCAGAAACATACGATTTCTACTACCCCATAGACATAAGGGTGACACAGCCCACTCCAGGAGGCTCTCCTTGCGGTAGCGACAGGGCCCTGTATGACAGGGTTGTAGATATTCCGAATTTGAAGCCGAAATTGGCCCCTTTGGCGTCTATTAGCAGCTGTAACAGTTCCTTGGGTAAGTACATGTGGAAAGGAAAAAAATTGGACTCTCAAATAATAATACACCCCATCCGCTTGAGGTTAGCCATGAAAACCGTCCGTCACTTTTAGAAAGTGATGAACTATCGGGAACATAGCCTGCTCTGGCTCACTTTATGGATATTTAGAAAAATTTAGTACCTTCCTAGTTCTCTGAGCTCTGGTAACCACTTCTAACAAGTGAATTATTAAAGTAACAAATTAAAATCAGAACAACAACATAGAATTAGTATTAATTCAATTTCGAAAATTCACAAACTGACAGCGTCATACCAATTTAATTGTCACTATCGCTAATAGCGACTAGATAGATTAGTTTCGTATTTTCGCATTTATGACGATGTATCTCTGTAGTTGTTCCTAAAATAATTTTTTGCTGCGAACTGGTTTATTTTGGGCAAAGAAACCAGAAATCATTTTTTATTTAGAATGAAACAGGCTATCGGAAATAAATTTTTAAATGGTAAACAAATAATAAGACAAAAAGTTACATTGGAAATAAATTTTAGGAGTTGCGTTTTCCACCCCTTACAACCATGAGGTAAACCAAATAAATAAATTTCTGGCTAAGTGTCTTTTCGATAGTTCTAAACGTCAGGTTGATTTCAATATTTTAACTTTTTTAGTGCTTGTGAAAAAAATTGTTAAACAAATTTCATGTACCCCCTGTAAGGGGCTGTATCTTAACAAGGGATGCTCCAATGAAATTTCTTTATATGAAAGATCCTACCTTTTTTCGATGAGGAATCACCTCCTTAAATGTTTCACACTCATTTAGTTACACCCTGTATAAGGTTATTTCAAAAGTTTTTATAAATTTACTTTGAACTGTAATATCCTGATGAATAGTTGTTCTATTTGATAAAAATAGGCGCTATTTCATTCAGTGCACTTTTGCCAACGTAATAAAACTCGAATAATTTCGTCAGCATTAAAATTGGGTGTTGGAAATTCGATGAAGTCGACAAAGGCCGTTTCTGCCTGGTTCTGATTGGCAAAGGTTCTACTACTGAGAAACTTATTGAAGTGCTTGAATAGATGGTAGTGAGGTCTGGTGAGTATGATGGGTGAGGCAGAACTTCAATTTTCGGATGGTGATTTGTGAAACGTGCGGATGGGCGTTGCCGTGGAGCTGGATCGGACCTCTTCTGTTGACCAGTGCAGGCTGCTGCTGACGCAATTTTCGGTACATTTTATCAATTTCCTCCCAAGAGGACTCTGCTGTGGTGTTGGTTTAGCCTGGTTGCAGAAAGTTATAGTGAATCACACCAGTCACGACAACTATATAGTAACCATGGTTTTTTTTGGTGGGTTTCCGCTTTGGAAAGTGCCTGAATGGCTCATTGGGGTCAAACAGCTGTGCTAAATATCTCCTGTTATCGTAGAGGATCCACTTTTCATCACATCTGACGATTTGATTACAAAAAGGATCGTTTAGGTTGCGCAAAAGCAAAGAGGAATAGACCTCGGAACATGACAATTTCTGTTGATTGTTCAAACTGTGGAGCACCCACTTTTCAACTATTTTGACTTTCCTTATACGTTTTAATCCATCAAAAACAGCATGGGAGCTGACGCTCAGTTTTTCCGGCATCCCACGGGCCAGTCTCTACCAGGGCCCTCGAATCCTCGTTCTTGACAAGTTGACAACTTGGGGGCTCATCTTCGAGTCTGAAATCTACAGAACGAAATTTCACAAACCAATGTCGAACCACAGTAGAATAATACAACCAGAAGGCTGCCTTACCACGTGATCCTCCTGAGTTGCCGGGAGCCTTCAACCGCTCTTAGGATGAGATTCTCATCCAAGGCGTTCAGTGCTGTAGTATCGAAGGATTCAATCCGATTCGGGCATCGATCGGAAATTGATATCGTGTTTAGTTCATTCGATGTTGTTATTATTGTTTTCAGTTTTTGTAGTACGGAAAATGTAACTTTCCACAAAATCTTCTATGATATTCTCAAATTTCTTTTTTATATGATCGCATGTCTATGGTAAAAAAACGAAATTGGCTCCGCACTTCGTTTCGAGGTCACCGGGAACTTTGTGAATTTATGAATGAAAGTAGTGGGAGTGGACTTACTGGTTGATTTTTACTGTAGTCGAACAGTGCGTTTATCAACAACACTATCATTGCCAAATGCCTGGTTAGTTCTTCGGGTTGTTTCGGCAGCGCTTCAGTTCAATTTGAATTCGTAGAGAAAAATTGGCCCAAAGTCGCTCAACGACATCATATTTTGATGAGCTGAAAAGGGGCAACAAATTCAATTTTGGAAAAAATGAACATATATATATATATATATATATCACAACACATTAGAATAAATATTTATTGAGATATGAAGCTAAAGAAACGCATGACATTAAAGCGGACAAAACTTTTGAGACAGCCGAAATTTTTCAAAATCTTGTAGAACCATCCAAGTTTTTTGTTCTAGGTAATGACTACCCCGAATCCGAAGCACAGTCTGGAGCAAGCGACTCAGTGTTTCAAGAAGAAGAGGAGGCCACAGAAAACGAAATCGACGAGTTTAGTACAGACAGTGATGTTAACAGCGAAGAAGGCGCTTGCTATAGAGGCAGGCGGCATAGACTGAGTATTTCCATGGATTCCGCCACTCCGACCAGTGAAAGACCTCCATATAACCTTCCTGATTTGAGAAGATCGTCCAGGTCTTCCCTGACCATAGTAGGAAATGAAGATAGAGAACTTTCTCAACTGTCATTGCCTGACAGTATTCGTGTAGAGTTAGGGGAAAGGAAAGCTTGGCCTCAGGAAACGCTGTTCTGAAAGTTTTGTGAGAGTGGCCGTTCTGAATCAAGAAAATGTTTCTATTGAGAAAACGAAACATATCACTAGACAATGGAGCCAATTCGTGTAATTTTTACTTTGAGTTAGACTGGGGTACTTTCTCATTACTCAATATTTTATATTTTGATTGGTTACATTAATGGTTTGAATTGGACTTCTTCTCAGTTATCTCAAATGAAATTTATTCGAGTGGTCTAGCTTAACTTTTTGGATGAATTGGAATACTGAGTATATTTGCCAATTTATCAGATGGTGTATTGTTTTTTGGCTGTTTTAGAGTTGTATTGAATATTTTATAAACCCAAATAATTTGAAAAACTTGTCATTACACCGGCGTAAGATTGGGAAATGTCTTATGATTCTGAGTGTATTTGTGTAAAAATGTGAATTTTTATGTTGTTACTTCAAAAGATAAAAAATGTTATTCGTCAGTTGAAGTAGCTACTACATTTGTTGAGTGTCATGGTCATAGTTCAAGACGAGATTCCACATTCATTGTTCATTTAAAATGTCACTGACTGTTTATTGTGGTTCTGGAAATCAAAAATATTTTCAACAGAAAATTTCCAGTATAAAATTCTGCTGTTAGTAACAACGTGATATTGAAAACAAATTATATCAGATTGATGTGAAACTATTCAATGCTGTTGCTTCTGTTCTGACAGTGGAATTAAATATCAAACTCAAAAATTCTCACAAATCAAAATACTGGGATTATTGATATTTTTATGGACATACTCAATGTTACTTCATTGTAAAATTTCCATACATTAATTTACAAAACCGCTACACAATTTTCATTAGAGAATAGTATACTATGTTGGAATATGTTATTCTACAACTATTCACTCAACTGTTCAGAATTAGAAGCAACTTCAATCATCACAGATTATTTTATATTTTGAAATTTTCAGTAATACTGTTTTTGAGACATCTCAGATTGGAAATATATAGATAATTATACTTCAGTTTGATGTGACAAGATTAAGTGGCCACTAAAAATATAGTCATTATCAGGAAATGCATCAAAAATTGGGAAAAAAACAGAAAAGAGTCTTTTCCGGTATTTATGACTCCGTCACAGTTCAGCGAGTTCAAGAATCGATATAGAATGTTTTATTTATGAAATATTTCAATGGAGAAGGGTGTCAAAGTAATATGTCCTTTTTAAAACAATTCAATTTCTCTTTGAATTGCAAGAAACCCTCATAGTTTTGTGAGGAATTACATTTCAAAATTCAGATTTAAAAAGAAACTCATTAATACAGTTCATTGTATGATTTTCACTATAAAGGGTTTTACAATAAACTGTATTAATGAGTTTTAATATAGATTTCCGTCAAGTATCGGCCAGTTCATTTCAATCAGGTTTTTTCAATAGCTTATTTACTATACTTATCTCCGAACTTTATCTTACATTCTGAAGTCTTCCTACAGTGATTCTATGACATTCATCAACAATTCTTTGGAGCAAATCTGTTTGTCATCACTTTTAAGGTATTCACACAAAGGGAAATCTAGGAGTGTAAAATCTGGTGACCGTGGAGCTTATTTTGTTCTGCTTTTTCCACGGACACTGTGCCACGGTCTGAGAAACACTCAAGAAACGATAAAACAGTTCAATTGCAATTAGTTAAAAAAAAGAAAATATGAAAACAAATATTTACATTGCCATTTCATGAAAATGTGTTTTGCACTACATCCAAGATTACAAATTTTTACAAAAAATTGCAGAATACAGAATTTTTGCTTCCTAAAATCAGATATATGTGAAAAATAAAACTTCAGAGATGACCTTGACTATTATAACCTTTAGATTGACATGTGGAAGTTAGGAAATGAATGTCCCAAAAATTGATGTCGATGCCCTTCATTTTTTTTGAATATACTTTTTTTCATGAATTATTTTAGTGAGATTCATTGAAAACTCAAAGTTCTTTCACTTTACAAAAATTGCTCTAATTTGAGTAGTTTCTCTATAGCAACAGCAACAGCGGTCGCGTAAAGTAAATAATTTTTTTCCTTAAATTTGGCCTTTTCTTGGTGCTACAATTTGGTGGCATCTAAGGAGAAATTATTTTCGTGAATGCATGTAGAGTAGGTTACAAATAAAATATTACAAAAAATGTTAAACGTAGAATATTGAATTGCGCACTGACAGTCTGGCAATAGGTCTGAGATTCTTTCAAAATTTCTAAATTGATAATTCGGTGGATAAACTTTGTTTCTCAAGTAGGCCCATGAGAAAATCGAATCGCATTTGACTTGTCAGGTCATTTAGTTGCTCACCATCCCCTAAAAAAATAACCGAGTACTTGAAGAAGAAACCACTTCTCGAAATGTTCGCTGCTTTCCATACGAATATAAATCGGAAAGTGCAAAAATAGTTTTCTCTTGAGAAATTCACCAGCTCGAAAAAATAAAATTCTTCTTCGCATTACCCTTCTTATTTGAGGTTTTTGAGAGTGACAATCTATCATTAAATTAGGGCCGTAGTCATTAATGACTGCTTAGTCATTAAAGCTGTTCAGAGTGTGGGAGTCTGAAACGTGTTCGTAGACTGGAAATGATTTACATCAAAATTAGATGCATTTCTTGGTATCGATCAAAATGTAAATTTTTTTTGTCGAATTGCAGATATCTGCATATATTCTTCTAAATGTATTATCAAAAATATAATCAAATTATTATTTTTGACGAAAAACTAAATTTGAATTCTAATTGAAAATGCAAACTCAGAATAAATGAAAGCAAATAATTTCACAATCAGATAATCAGGGATAAACTGCTTGCCAATCCCAACAGGTCTAGATCCTTCTGGTGAGTAGCTGAAGCTGTTATTCAAAAAATTTGGGAATTCAATATTCAAGACTGTTTTAATTCGACTACCTATATGAATGTTTGGAAAGAATGTCTTCATTCTGTTGTGTTAACAATGGAAAATATCCACCTAATAACTACTTCAATTGACTGAACTATTTTATTTTGAAAGTGACCTATTTTAAATTAGTGTATGGAAAATTGATTCCAAAAAATAAGTGAAAATATCAAAAACTGAACACTATTTAAAATCATATTATATCTTCCTAGTTTTGTTGTGCCAATATCTATCTCAGTATTTAAAGAAATATATTCAGAGGATCAAGTTGAGAAAATTATTCATGAACAAAAAATACTGATATATCTTTTGTGGAGGAGCAAATTTTTATATAATTAGTGATTTCCTTACCTTGAAAATTATAGGTACCACCGTGTGAATCACAAAAATGAGATAATCGGATAGAAACAGGGTGTTTGGAATATTCAGCTCATTTCGAATATGGAACACTAATTTAGAATAAGAATGATTCAATTTTTCCTTAATCAAGTTCGGAACGAATACTCACAATAGAATAAAATATTCATAACCGCAAATGCTCTTTGAAAATATGCAAGAACATTTATTTTGTATAGAATATTTACAACTGTCTCGGTAATTGTGAAGAATCGTTTAAAAAACATGAAACAAACTTCCAGTGAGTGTCATATTTGGGACTGCTTTTATATTGGACTATGTCGTTTCACCTGAAACTTTCATGATCTACCTGAAAACTGCGCAAATCAAATGTTTTAGATTACTGGCATATTTTTTTATCCTCCTATAGTTTGATAAGCTCTTGTGATGAATGGGTATATAACTTCAATGATGGCTTTGAACATCAACACATGATAAAAATCAAATTTGACTACTGTATAATTTCAGGTCTCTCACCTCAAGGCATTTTCATTTTCTATACATAGAATGTTGATTGACGATCTGAAGTTTCATATTCATACGTGAGTTGTTTCAATTTTCGAAAGTTTAAGTGAATACTCATCGAGGAAAAATATATTCATTTCATAAAGAAAATGAAAAATTATTATATGTTAATATGTAGCAAAGGCATGTGGATGTTTCTTGTACAAAAAAAACTGTATAGAGAGTATGTTGATCAATGATTTCAAAGTGTGAAAATGCAATTTTCAATAAATGTTTTAACTGTTATATTTTATTCCTTCTAAAAACTTTTTCACGTGTTTATTATTTTGACATTGTTATTGACATTTTGTTCATCATGAAATGTATTGTTACGCTTTTACCCGTGGCTTGATCAATAATTGACTACACTGAATAATCAAACTTAACTTTATTTCACTTTAGTTACAACATCACTTCCACTAAAACTTCAACTATTATTTGAATGTCTGCCGCCTTACTAGATCACTTCGCGTACCGCACGGTAACGTTCAGTTCACTGTGTACTTGAGTGTCACGATATGCCCGCCGCTAGCATTTAAATATCGTAATTGAACATCGTACAATTTTCGCCGAGGTTCTTAAGGCCGCCATACACTGCAATGTTGCCCGACAATTTTAACCGTTGCGAGTAAACAAAGCGTACCAGGAATTACGGACGAAAGTACAGCAGGTAGACCCGGATGCGATGAAGGAGACTGTTGAAAAAAAAATAGATTTCATGAAAGGATCAGTAAGAAAAGAAAGGAAGAAAGTAATAGATAGCAAAAAATCCGGCGTAGGAAGTGACGCAGTATATCAGCCACATTTGTGGTATTTTACTTATTTCCAGTTTTTAGAGGACCAAGAAGTTCCGCGTCAGAGCAAATCCAATATTGAGAGTGATCAGGAACTAGCAGAACAGAAACATTTACAACAGGTGATAATAAAAATATATGGGGTATTTTCTATGTAAGAAATTGTGGAAAGAAACCAAATATTTATTTGTTAATTGTAATACCAACAAATTGAACAGTTATTTGGGTTTTCACAGTTTGAACATGTTGGAGATAAAAAAAATATGTTAATGTTTATGTTATAAAATTACACTCAGGAGGAGTTAACTGTGTTAACTTCTTTTTTCAGATTTTCAACCCGAACTCGGTGAAATTGTTGCACATTTGAAATGGTTAAACTGAAAATAAGGTGATTCCAAAAAAGTATAATAACAAAATTGTTTTTATAGACAAAGAGCAAAGCTAAACAATATGGTAACGTTGAAACTGAGATTGTTTGAAGGTGCTCGACAATGTTTCTGTATAAGAAGAAATATTCAGGACTTCCATTGTCTAAAACGGAAAGGCATAAATTCTGTGCTAGAACAGAAAAAATTAAATTACTGTGAAATTATGAAGTGCTAAAAATGAAAACTGCTGAAACAGAAACAGCAATATTAGCTGAAAAATTCATGTCCGACATTATCTTTGAAGCCCAGCTTGGTAATATAACGCGACAGTCAAAACTAAAAATTTACAACAGTTTTTATGCACTTATTACCAGCCTGATATGCAAGCGTCAGCAAGTCGCTACTACGCCACATTCTCGACATCCAATGACGTTACTTTTGAATAGTTGCTATTTAGTTATTATAAGATAGATATTGCATTTAGCGTGTTAACATTGTTACAAAATATGTCCTGTTGTGGGAATAAGTCTCATTTACCTTCAGAAATTCTTTCCTAAGGATACTGTATAACGCACCTATAAGTTTCAGGAATAATCCTACCTAACGCCTACCTAGCGCTGATATTACAGTTGTATACTTTAAGTCTTCATAAGTTCTTCCTGTGGCCAAGAACCTTAATGTAGCAACTACGTTCATGACAAGACACAGCTTCTCGTAGGTGGTTATCTCGTTTCTTAATTAGTGGAGACACAATTTGTATAAATTCCAAATAGGTGTCTTCATCCATACGTACGTAATTAAACCAATCGTCTTTTTGTAACTTCAATTCAGTTAACAAATTAATATGTGAAAATTTCTGTCTTTTCAGCAGCCACTCTTTGGACCACCTGCGACGTTTTTTACTATTTTGCCTTTTTATCACTAATGCCGCTGCCACTGCCAGTTTATGTGCTCGTTTCATCGTGTCGCTGTCCAAAGTACCTGCGAACTGGCTTTGCGACCTGACAATGTATGAACGCTTCGTCCCTACAATTTTGCATGCACAATTTTACTCGCCATGGTTAAAACTGTCGGGCAGCATTGCAGTGTATGGCGGCCTTTACTGCTTCTCGAGCAACAGGGAACATTCGGCATTCCCGCGCTCTTAGCTACGTCACGTTTTGTTTAAGGTTACCAGTGGTGGCCGGCGTTACTTTCTTTCGGGCATGATCTACAACAATATTGTCAATCAAACAAAAATTAAATATATAATGGCTTGTCATTAATGACTAGATTTTCATCTGCAGATTTCTCACGATTTTTTTTTTCGAAAGACGCCGATGAAACTTTGAACAAAATATCTTTTTCATAGTCTCAATTTCGATTGCTTCACGAATTATCCTGGCCTGAAGAATTTTCTCCGTAGCAACCGTCTTGGTGTTTTAGAAACTTATTGTGTGGCCTATTTCCTGGTGGTGTTTGGGAAGAGATGATGGTGGGTCTGATTTGCAAACAGCTAGTTCATGTTTATAGGCTCTGTTGGAAATTCTTCTATTGGTCTGGCAGATGTATGTTCTGGGACCGTTCTTATATTCCCTGTGCTTCTTTGGGTGTTCTTAAAAGATTGTAGAATTGGTTGTTAGCTGTAAATACTGTCTTTACGTTATGTTTTTTCAGAATTCGGCTCACTTTGTCGGCAACTCCAAGGATGTAGGGAAGAAAAGATTTTGTCTGGTTAGTCTGTTCCGCGGGTAACTCGTGGGGTGGGGTTTGTGTTTGCTGTCGTTGGATGGGTCTTTGTATTTGGGAGACGGGATAGTCGTTTTGGTGAAGGGCGGCTTTGAATTCGTATAGTTTCCTGGATCTGTTGTGGTTGTCAGTGAGTCTTATAGAACGATATATGAGAGAATTCGAAACGGAATTCAGCTGAGCAGGATGATGATGGGTAGGTTTTCGATAGACCGTGTGTGAGAAGGAGTTGTTGGAATTTGTGATGAGAACGTCCAGGAATGGGAGTGAGGTATTATTTTGAACTTCCATTGTGAACCTTAGGTCGGGGTGTGAGGAGTTGATGTGGTTCAGAAATGCATGAAGATCTTCGGATCCATGGGGCCATATAACGAAGACGTCGTCCACGTAACGGAGCCAACACGTGGGTTTGAGATGAGACGTGTCAATGGCTCTGGTTTCAAAGTCCTTCATATAGAGGTTTGCAAGGACTGGAGAGAGAGGAGAACCCATTGTGGCGCCTTTCACTTGTTGGTAGAATTTGTCCTGGAAACAGAAATATGTGCTGGACATGCAGTGGCTGATGAGGTTGACCGTGCCTTGTGTAATTTGATGTTCCGTTTTGAGAAGGGAGGTGCGAAGAGGTTAGCAGATAACGATCACAGAGTGGAACACCATCGAGACAACTCTACGAAAGAGTTGAGGCACCGCTGTTTCGCCTCATCAAGGTCTCAACAGTGGTGCTAGGCCAAAGCACAAATGTCTTTCTGGGCTCAACTGTTCTCAAAGAACGAGCTTCACTGAGGAAGTGAAGACAATGATGACATGTCCCTTCCAGTGAAAGCTGCTGTGAAAGACAGGTTGAATTTGGTTACCGGCCGATGTCGACGCTTGGCTTTGAACATGGAGAGTCTTGTTTATCTGTGATATTCGTAAACTGATTCTTCTCTTGATGCCAAAGATGGTGTTTTCGCGAGGAGATACTTAATCGCCTTCATTTTCTCAGGTTTGGGACAGATGAGTCCAGCAGTTCATTCGTAGTTTTGCCTAGAAATATTAATGAGAAACAGCGCTTTGTTTGTGGGCTCTGGTTTATACTTCAGCTGTAGGCAATGCAACGAAGGTTCAGAGACAGCTCATTATATTTTATGTGAACATAAGGTGCTATATCATTGGAGGCAAGAAATTCATGGAATCATGTGCAACGAAAGACCTCCAGAAATTAGTACAGAAACCAAAGTTGTTGAAATGGACCAAGTATTGGAAATTAGCCATTTTTACTTCGAGTTCTTGGGGCTCTTCATTAACATCATCTGAAGCCAATCTCTATCTTATGGCATTGAATAAGTTTTGAACTGGCCGAGATTCTGTACAAAATATTGTACCTGATATTTTAAAAATAATTTAATATACTTACGAATAAAATACCTGCTAATATAAAAAGTTTATTTGAAAAACATGATATAAAAATGTTAATATACAACAAACAAAAGTGATTTCAATTATAAAAACCGCGTTTTGAGATTAATACAAGCTATTCGTATGGCATAATTGGCAACGCAATTCTTAAGGAAAAAACCTTTAGTTTTTTGTCTGGAGTTTGAATGTCAGTAGTGTCTAGAATAAATAATGCATGAGTTATTCAAATATCTGTGGGGACGAAATGATTTGGAAAACTATCTTTCATTGTCAGTTTTGATTATGGCGTGGTTAATCTCATCTATGGAAAAAGTTGACCGGTAAAAGACAATTTTGTTGAAATGATGGAAGTTCTGCACTCCACACATGGATGGCAGACAGGAATGCAGTCGAGTTCGTCATCGTTTTCCTTGTTTCTTCCTAATAATGGTCAGAAAAAGGAGAGTGTCTAATTCCAAAGCTGTGGGCTGGAGAAATATCAATTTCAACCTGAAAAAAAAAACAATATTGATGCATCAAATGAAAAGATGTATGACTCAAAATTATCACTACTATTTGAATTGATTGATGATTTACTTTTTTTAATATTGAAGTCAAAACCCTTTGGAAAATGGGATAAAATTGTATATCTGAATTATATATCTGTGATGATAAATGGATATTCAATAACGATAACTATGGCACCAAAGTTGAATTTATATTTGATGGATATAATAATTATGGAAATATTCAAGTAACAGTAAATCTTTTTTTCTCAATGATGGGAAGAACTTGAAATGATTGTTTTTGGATTCATCTAACTTCTAGGTTTCAACAAAAAGGTGATTTATTGCTAGAGCTTTACATGGACTGACTTGAGACTGATTCGTTAGACAGGTAGACAAAAATCAAGTTACTTAGGTGCCAGGTCACAAAGGAATTGAAGAAAATGAAGAAGTTGATGATCTCGCAGAGAAGAAAACCAAACCTTCTTCTCTAAAATGAAACCTATCTCTGGACTATCGAAAGGCCACTTGAGAATATATTTCAAACAATGTAGACTTCATCAACAAAGATATCACAGAATGTCATGATAATGACAAGCGAAAATGGTGATTAGCTTATACCAAAAAAATACTGAATAGCTCCTAGGTTTGGATAAATGATGAGATGGGTAACAGGACTTTTTCTAGACACTGCCCTTCGGGCAGTTCCTTTGAAAGACTCAAGTACATTAAGAAACACCACTCATTTTCTCTGATATCAATGAGTTCTCTCCAAAAAGTCAAGTATTCTGGAGATTAGATTACAGTTTACAATATCCTATCAGATTTTCTTGAAGAATATGTTCTTACTTTCTTGGCAATCTGTCAGTGCTATGAGGTATGTATGGAATTTGGTATAACTCAATAACCTGTTGAGAACTTTATTAACGAAAATTGATGAATGTCTTGATGATATGATGAAATGGCATAATAAGAATGTTTTGTGAAAGAAGAAGAAGGTTTTTTCTTGAGGTTCAAACATTTGTTTCATACTCGTGACTGTATCTATTTTGAAGACAAAAATGTCGCTTTTCAACAGGATGGAAGTTATCCATTTGCAGTTTTGATTTGTGTTAGTAGGGAATTAGGTATCTCAGTTTCTTACATCTGAAACATGATTATTTATTTATTATTTCGTTTCTTCGAACATCAATTCTATGAAGAGGAGGACAAAAAATATATCTATTTCACTACTCTATAAGTGCCACTAATATCTATCAGTGAAGATGCTTTCAAAGATCTAAAAACATACAAATACCTGCATATTTTCCATTGACAAAAAAATGTTAGTTTCATATTTTAGTTAGAAGTAGGTTAGGTAGTCCTTAAAATAAAAGAGACGTTTTTTCTCTCCGAAGGCACGAATTCTGCGTGCCTAGATACGGGGAATGCCTTATGCCGAAAGAATGGCTTGGAGCGTGTCTCAGATGACAGTTTACCTGGATAAAAATAGTCATTAATAGTTACAAATGTATACAGATAATGTTTACAGATAAATTCAAACACACGTTACTACAACTTCACCTTGATATCAAATGGTCTATCTAATTATATATACATTTCGAAGGTAGATTATCCATCTGAATATAGAATGATTTCCTCCTGAAGAAACGCTTCAGACCTCCAACTCATCAACATGGTTCTCATACAAAGACAGTTGTGGATGAAAATAATCTGTGCCGTAATAGGTTTGACAGTTTGCATTCCACTTTATTTTTGTTGAATATTCTCAAATTTTTATACAATAGGTGTTGAACATGATATTTTTTCAGGTCATGATGACAGGGTGTCTCTGGACTGTCTCCTCTTACTCATAGAGAATAGAGTATGGGGTATCGTGGTGTTTTTAGAGTCTCTAATACCCGATCAACGTCTGAATTGGTATCAAATTGCCAAACACGACTCTCCTTGATAGGAAGACTTAACAGATTTTCTCTGGTCTGGATTCCTGGCCATACTGGCTTGGAAGGCAATGAGACTGCTGACTCCCTCCCTTGCGAAGGAGAGTGCTGCAAGCAGCTTCATCGGACCAGAACCTGTCATTGGCACCACTTTGTGGTGGTTTTCTGCGGCGCTCCTACGTTTTTTCATTACATACTTTTTCGTTGCAGCTATCAGTTCAGTTTACTGGATAATTTTGAATAGTCGATCTGATCTGAACTTTCATTTCGATTATACAAATCTTATGACTTTGTGCCTGCATGGAAGATAGATCTGTTCGATTTGTGATGTTTGTGGATGGCGTTTCACAAATCCACGTTGATTCTGTAGATCATCATGAATCTGAATCATCATGAATCTATCCACAGAAACACATGTTTGTGGCTTCTTGTACCTTTTACGTAGAACGCCCTCTATAAAACACTCACTCACTTGTAAATTAAGCTCCACCAATATGAATAAATATCATAGTGTTGTAAATCATGCCCTAAAGAAAGTAACGCCGGCCGCCACTGGTAGCTATGAACCGATTGTGACGTGGCTAAAAGCGCGCTCAGTTCGACTGACATTTCGCGGATATTCTACCGACTTCAATGGAATTCCGAGGAATTTTCCAGCGCCTTCGATTGCCAAATATAAGCGTCATCGACTCGCCCATCGGACAGTCAAGTGGAAGTGGCAGTGCGGTACGCGAAGCGATTCCGTAAGGCGATAGACATTCGAATAATAGCTGAAGTTTCAGTTGAAGTGTTTGTTGTATTTAAAGTGAAATAAAATTGAGTTTGATTATTGTTCACTTTAGTCAATTATCGGTAAACCTTCGGGGAAAAACGTAACGATAGATTAACTTTGTTTAATCACTTGGTTATATGACAGACGTAATAGAAGCTTTCTAGTTTTTAGAGTGTTTTTAGAAAGTGATTACAGAGAGCTACAGATGATTCTTAGATATAGACCATTCAGATATCAGGAGAGTTGAAGAGGTGATATTCTGTGGATGAACTCTTCAGGATAGATTGAATTGAGGATAGCCATAGGACTGATCCAGCATAAAGAACTGACAATGGAATCCATTGGAATAAGTTACGTCCTTGAATATTTTGATTTGTAAAAAAGTCGTGATCGGTCTAGGACCAGACAACTTTGTGTACATGTGGGTAGGAGGAAAGTTACTAAAAAAAGTGCACTGTATAGTTCGTGAATGTGAAGTATCAAGTTTATGCAGGAAACATGACCTATCGGAGGAAGAAAACAATAGCGAATATTTGGAAATGAACAACTTTTTTGGCTGCATTGGCACAATAGTATCAGTTAATGCCGCTTTAAAATGAAATTGTAACAATTGTGGTATGGAAAAAAATATCTAATTCATGAATGCATTACATCCGAATTCGAAAAATTTGATATTCAATATTGAAGTATAGTTCAGTTCAAATTGTAAATTACAGTTCGGACATTTAGTATTCCTCACCTTCTCTGGCGAGTACACCCCTGGTCCTGGAATATTGTCATTACTTGGAATATTCACTCTTCCACTGATAGTATAAGCAGGAGAATGAGTTTTATAATTTTCAGGATTCACTAAGTTGTATTGTCCTGGAGCAGGATTCTTCACACGTTCGTCAACTGGTTCCTTTGTCCTTCCCGAGATCGTATAGGCAGGGCCGGACTTTTCGCCAACGGCCGATGGAATGTTGTATACATTGGGGGCTGAAATGAATCAATTAGGAACAATAAAAAATGAAAGCATGAAATCTTCCTGAACCAAAATTCAAAAAGAGTTGTGACTGACACAACCTCTGGTGAGATTTTCAAAAATATTTGTAAAATCTCAACTGTGAGTTTCAAAATAATTTAAATATTGCACGAAGCATTTTTTGTAAAAAATTGATTTGTATTTTGGTAAAGGGTGGTTCGAATTTCATTTTGAAGCGAATATGAAATCATCATAGATTTGAATGTAAAAAGAATGAATGATGTTAAGAAGGCATTGAGAATATTCGTTAGTTTAAGAAGTATGAAAACCAACCGGGTGTTTCCAAAGGTTTTTCCACTTGGACCTTGGCTCCAAAGCTGAATTTTGGTGAGTTTTCGTGTAAAACCTTATCTGCTGTTGGAACATTGTAAACGTTGGGTGCTGTACATGTGTAAAAAGGGTGTGTAAATCGTGGTAAATGGGTGATGATGTGAAATTATTAAAATACAAGTCATGTACCAAAAACAGATGAAATATGAATAATGCCCTCTAGGGACCGAGACTCTTACATAACAACTATGCAATCACTAAGATAAAATTATTGCTTCACATTATCTAGGTTCTTATTCTTCAGTGGCTAAAGTGACTAAGGTGTGTCCTGTACACAAATCAGATGCCAAGAATCTGATTGATAATTATAGGCCAATATCTCTCTTGAATATTGAAGCCAAATTATTCGAGATAATTTTGTACAACCGCATCTACTTGTCAACGAGACATATAATTTCTGTTTATCAACATGGATTCATGAATTCTCGTTCGACAATTAGTAATCTATCGATATTCAGTCAATTTCTGTGCGAAACACTAGATAATAGGGGTCAGGTGGATGTGGTGTATACAGATTTCTCGAAAGCTATGCTTTCAGCATTTTCAAACTGTGATTTCTTGTTCAATGCTCCCATTCTCAATATTGAATATTGACTAGTAAACTTGATTTGTGGATATTTTAAATTCCATCCAATGTCGTAATGGAAATCCCTTATTTTTATGATGGGGTTTATATCGGCAATATAAAGTGTAAAGGAAAATTTTAGATTACCATCTAAATGAAGAATGAATTTAGAAATATATCATCTCCGGCAATAAAAAAGCTCAATTACAATTTACGAAATAACGATAAACTTATGCGGAGTACAAAAGATATAAAATATAAATGGCAATAAAACTCTGAATGTAATAAAAGTTATCCTCTGACTGATTATCCCGTTTCGGGAAATAAAATGGATTTTTTGTTTTTTCTGGTTTTTTCTCCATTGAAAAATATGAATATATGGAAGAATGGACTCCTGCNCGGCATTCACCAAAAATTAAAAGCATATCAACGTATTCGTTGGGAGTGAAGGTAAAAGGCATTTTGATATACAACAACAATATCACGACTGATGGCAATGTGTCATCCAGATATCAGAGGAATGAAAGGAAGCACAAAAAGTTCTAACATTTTATCGCCTCTTTTTCTGCGTAGCGTCCACTTTTTCTGGTGTCTACAATGCAGAACAATTCGATCAGTCCAGTTAATAGTACCCACTAACGTATTCAATTTTCTCGAACAATTATGATATATCGTTGGTTGAGAAATAACAAGAGCTGTCAGTTGAACGACAAACAACATGGGGTTGCCATTTGAAAAACAAAAGTTAGGGGTGGTTTCGCAGGGGTTGCTCGCAAGGGGGTGGATTTTGCTCTGCTACATGAAAGTGCTGGTGGTCTTCTATGATATACATATTTTTTTCAATTTTTTTCTGCAGGTGACTGAGATATCTGCTGGCCTAAAAGCTCTGGGACACCCGGTATATTGTCATCTTATATTGCTCTGTAAATGGTTGTTACTGTTGGCCAATAAATGCTTTATTATTATTATTATTATTCAGCAACTGATGCATGATGAAAGAAATATCTGCATTTTGAAACAATATTATTCGAGAATATGCATTTCTATAAAAAAATTGTCATTTTGATTTCAGCAGACTTGTGGCTTTTGTGTGTCCGAGTTTTGATATTTTTCGATTCCTCAAACTATTAATGGTCATTATTAACCTAGACTTGTCAACTATTTTTCCAACATCATTTTAACCACAACAAATGTGAAAATATAAAGTTCCGTATGAAATAAAATTATATGAATCAAAAAATTTGAGTTGAATCAACTACTTTCAATTATCTGTTCAGAAACTCTTTCATGAATCTGGGAAGTGTAATTGTATTTACAATTTTGTCACAACTATTTCTTTTTTAGACTTCAGTCCCTTTTCAAAATGTAAAAAGATATTGATCGCAACCCTCTCTTTCCCTATACATTACGTATCTTCACATTGACCTGGCTGATCACGTCGTTGTTCAACAACGCAGCCTCTTTGAACTCTCTCTTGAACCAGTGGATGATTGCCTCTTCAGACCGCTTGATGTTATGTCGGTTAATCCAAATATGCTCACAAACATAATATCAAATGGTTCAAATTGAAATCATTCTAGAGAGAAGAAATGGGAGAGTGGTAAGGAGTGACAAAGATTAGCTAATACCCGCAGATGACTGTGGACACTAACAATCGGTTATTTTTTTGTCATTTTAATGATGAACGAGAACGAGAATGTTTCCTGCTTATTCATTAAACTCAAACAACTGTTCATGCAGCTACAGTTTCGTAAGAAGGTATCATCTTTCCCTCCAACCGATTTCCTGGAGTCTTTGAAGTCTACTAGATACTCGTTAGGACAACAAGAGGATTGTTCCGAATTCTTGGGGTTCTTGTTGAATACTCTTCGTGAGCAAAACAATAGCAAAATCAATACTCCCAGCCGCTCTGGACTGAATGATTCCGTACAACCCATCTCGTCTTGTGTTTGTAAATCTTTTGCTGGAAAAATCCTCACTAGTTTACTTTGTGGTAAATGTTCAAGAAGTACTGAAAACTTATGTGAAATTCTGGAACTTCATCTAGCTTTTCCTAATACGACTAATTACCAGTCCGTGCAAAGCTTATTGTTAAATCATCTGAAAATGGAATTTTTAACAGGTGATGATCAACTGTATTGTCAAACATGCGCCAAACTAACTGACTGTTATAAGGAAACAAGTATAGCTGAGGCACCAGTCAATCTAATAATAACACTGATGATATTCAAACAAGACTCAACCTCTAACGGAAGCAAGAAACTCTTTGGAAGGTTCGAAATAGATGAACATTTCAACCTAGCAGACCACTGTTATAATATTCATGCAGTCATTGTTCACTGTGGTTCTGGCGTTGAATGTGGTCATTATTACCCCTTGGTCAAAGAAGAAACGGACTGGTTTAAGTTTGACTATAGTCGTGTCACGAAGTGTTCTGGCGATGCATTGAATTTATTGGAGCCTCTGGAGACACCCTACATTTTGTTTTATGAGAGAGAGGACATTGTTAGATCAAGATATTCAGATGATGTGGTGCTGCAGGTTTTTCCGGGTTTTCCTGCAGCTGAAAAAGCAAATGCGCCACTGGAATCAATGAAGTCGCCCCGGAGCGCCAATTGATTTTTATTGTTGTATTTATTTTTTGAACTGTTAAATCCACTCTCCTCGAAAAAAAAATTGCCATTTCACTTTTTATTCACCTCATTCATTATTTCGTTTTAATTTCAGGTCGTAATAATTTGTTCTCTATTTAGACAACGGAGGTTTGAATTTCTGTATCGTTCAACCCTATTCTTTAGTTGAACCATTTTTTGCAATAATCCTCCATTTACACTTCAAGTTGTTGAGTTGTAGGCTTGCGCTATATAATTATGACATAGATTTCATTTAACAGATAATCAAATAATGAGAATCCAATGAAACAAAATGATCTTATCAGAAATGTCTCCAAATACAAAGAAAAACAAGAAACAAAGAATTGAACTAACCAGGGGTGTCGAAGGATTTCACAAGGTCTGGTTTTACCCCAAAACTATATCTCGGTGATTTATCTAGCAATAGTTTATCTGCTTTTGGAACATCGTATACGTTTGGTGCTAAAATACAAAAAAAAATGTGAAGAAAAGGCCCGATAGGTACAAACAAAAAAATAACTCCGTACTATCAAAAACAATTATTCAAAATTCTTATCGATGACTTAGTCAATATAATAAACATTCTCTCATGAAAAGAAAAGTATTATTTATATGAGGAAACATAATTCCTGTAAGTATGCTAAAAATCAGTGTTTATTGGTGTCAAACAATTTCTTTAAAAACCAGATCACTCTGATCATTTCTGAATAATTGGAAATGACTTTGTATAAATGGAGACTAGTCTCCAGGGTTGTATTCAGAAAATAGTGTTTATTTTTTTTGGAGTTTTCAACGGAGTTATCTTGTTGTGTTGCCAAATCCACATTCCACCACAGAAAAATCATAAAATAAAAAACTAACCAGGTGTATCGCAATTTCTAGGTGTTGGTGTCCGCCTCCCAAAAGAGTATCGGTGACTAGAAGTTCGGCTGAACGGTTTATAAGCATTAGGAGCTGTGTTAAAATTATTAATATTTTTAGTCTAAAAACCAAAATTTTGTTAAACTACCTACTAATACTCATTATGTACTATGAGAGATTAATTCATTACAATTTTCAATGTCAGTTATATATTTGGAATATTTATGCACCATAAAATAGAGTAATGAATACTGGAGTCGTGTAATTTTTTCACACATACACAATTTCATTATTTTTTTAATTCCCCAACTATCTCGTTAATACATACCTAACGTACATTGAACACGACGTGAGGGTTTAAAAAATCTGTTGAAATCTGTTTTTCTGTCAACCAGCTGTCGAAACTTGTGCGAGCTGAGGACTAACGAGGTCTTACCTTTTAACGTGTGATTTATAACATGAGAAAAGCTGTATTTGAATAAATTGAATATTCATTGATAATATTATCTTTTAACAAATAATTTTTTTTTCTATACATTTATTTTTTATTATTGGTGATAAGAGTTGGTGTGAAGTGGCTTGTCTATATTTCTCTATCAAACACTTGAATGAAAATAATGAAGAGAAAGGAAATCAAAGCACTATTAGATAAGATAGTTATGCATCAATCTAATTCATTTTTGTTTCAATCGTCTGCCGTGAACACATTGATAAAACATATATTTATATTGTGAGAGAAAAAAAAAACAGGAAATAATTGTAATGTGGTAAATCATTTTTTAAATTAAAAATAATTTCATTTTCGACATCACAGTTCAGTGAAGAGAAATTCATTAACGAAAGATTTATTACTTTATACCGGAGGTCTGTCACTGAGAAGGTTTGTTTTATGCTATGATGTCATAACTATAACTGTTAAATAAAGATAAAAATCACTGCTTGTAAACAAATTACGTAGTTCTTCAAATATTTGAGAGTCTGAGAAATGAAATATTACACTTTGATGACTTGTAGAAAAGTTACATGTTTGTAGTTTCAAATATTCAATCCGTATTCATGAAAAAATAAGTTTTATTATGAAGACACTGCCATTTATTAAAATCATTATTCACATTCGACATGAGAATTATAGTTCATAAATATTCCAGAACCAGTTAGAAATTGGGTTACATGAAAAAAATTGTTGTTAACCAACCAGGAGTATCCAGCGGCTTTTCTAATGGGGTTTTTGATCCAAAACTGTATTTTGGGGTATCATGAGCAACTGTCTCCGGTATATTGTAAACGTTTGGTGCTAGTTTCAGAAAATTGTATCGATTAGCCTTCATTTTAATTTTTTCTGACAGTCCAACGATATAGATACAAGAAGATAGATAGAAGTCCTACAGAGTGATTCTTTCAAAACATTCTAAGTATTGTTGTGCTTCACGAAAATAGGCATGAATCCATTTATACGTGTTTGAGGTTGTTCAACTTTAAGTATGAGAAAATAATAATACCGGTTATGATGATTACCAATGATCGTATGTTAATTTCTAGAGGAGTATTATTTGATCAATTCTCTAGCAAAATATGTTCTTTACTCGAGACATCGAATTCATTTACTGAGATATGTTTTTTGAAAATTTCATTCACTACATTTACGGTAAATTATAAAATGATTATTATTGAATTTATTCGATCTGATGGATACTTTCAAAGCTTACTATGTTGCGTGTTGAACAAAAATACAAACTTGGACTAAGTCAAATCCCTAATGTATGTGTGAATGTGCAATTTTTCTATACATTTCCACTACTCTGAAAGGTTACTCATTTTCAATCGGATTGAACATGCTATGCATTTTTATATCGAAAAAGCATTCGTCGACATTTGGACTATATTTGTGAAAATATATCATTATAATTATTCGAATTGGACTGTCAAAAATAAAATATAACTAATACTCCTACCTATAAATATCAATCGTTTCTCACCTGGTGTACCTAAAGGCTTCTCAACATTGGTTTTCAAGCCAAAAGTATATTTTGGTGCGTTATCGTGAATTACTTTTTCAGCTTTGTCAGGATTGTAGTCTCCAGGAGCTGGGAAATTCTCGGGTTTGGGTTCCTTGGGTCTACCATGGAGGCTTAAAGCTGGTGGCGTATCTTTCCCTAAGAATAAAAAATACACATAATGTTTTTTGCGTTAAGGTATGATATAAAAATGAGTTGAATGTAGTATTTTTTTCGAGTGATAGTCTTCTTCCACTTTTGTTTTCAACAAATATGAAACTCAATGCTGTTGTTCTCGATGTTAACGTTACATCTGAAGATCTCAGAAAATTCTTCAAAAAACTTCTTTCTTTGAACTATACGTTAAAAACTTAAATCAGTTTTTTCCGAACCGTAGTTAATATCTGGTGAGTTACAAAAGAGAAACATCACTTCCCAAAATGATTAAATTTTTCTTTGGGAACAATAATTTCGAAAAGGTTTACTACAGCCTGGTTCTGATTTGAGTTCAAATTTTCATTAAATTATTATTGGAGCTTTCAGTGTGTTCCATCAACAAATTTGATCGATTAAGCAGAAATATTGAATCCATTCAAAGATTCCATAGTTGATACTTTTCAGCTTCTATATGAATTTATATATCTGGAATGTTGTGCAAACGTTAGATGAAACCCTTCTGGGTTTCCGTTCTATTTCAGTCTAACTCGAAACAACTGTATATATTTGAAATGTGTCTACGTTTATAAGAATAGAGGAACATTTAGGGCAAACCAACAAGACCTATCTTTTATTTCAATGAAACCGATCAACATAAAAACATTTTTTTCACTTATTGAATTTTCAAGTTTTTAGTTTCTTATTTTGTCACAAGCGAAATCAAATTATTTGGATAGATGATTCATTAGAAATATACCTTTTGCACTCAATCCTGTAACATTATATTGACCTGGTCCTGGACCTATGCTTTCTAGTTTTCCGTTATGTCTCGCTCCAAAACTGAAAGCTGGGGCTCTTTCCGTCTTAGATTCTGATGTTCTCTTTCCTAGTAACACGATTGAATAATTATCAAATTGTGGAAAACTTGTGACAGAATTCACCTATGTATGAGGGTAGTGCTACGCATGCAGGTCCTGGTCCTCTGAACTCGGCTGCAATGGGGCCTCGTCGTTTAGTAGGAGTCCATGGACGTTGAGTTATGCCTCCCATGATCTGAAATTACAATATGATTTTTCAAAGATACTATATAATGGAATTGATTGTACTTTTAAAAAAGGATTCGGGTTACTAGTTACTGGTGGTAATCAAAAGGTAGCATTATTTTCACAAAAGTTTAAATGGATAAACAGTTTCTATAGATGTTTTTTTTCTACTTTAATGGTTTTGAAAATAAGAAGCATTGAAATTTCCAAACTGGGATATCTATCTATTGTTGTAAAGGAAGAAAATAACGCCGGCCCCCACTAGTAGCTATAAACCAACCGTGACGTAGCTAATAGTGCGCCAATGTACGATGTTGCCTGCCGCTCTAGAAGCAGCGAGAATAATGCTACCGATGGAACTTCGGCGAAATTTCTACTGCATTCGATTACGATATATAAACGCTAGTCACGAGCATATCGACACAGTCAAGTGGAAGATACAGTGAGGGACAAGAAGCGATCTAGTAAGGCGATAGACATTTGAATAATAGTTGAAGTGATTGCTGTATTTGGAGTGAAATGAAGTTAAGTTTGATTATTCAGTGTTGTCAATTATTGGTCAACCCACGGGTAAAAACGTAACACTATCTATACTTATAAATGCCAAAGTCACTCACTAATTCATCTTTGTTTTTCCTTACTGGTAAGTCTTAGGAAGCTAAAATTTGGTATAAATGTGCTTCTTAGGTCTTCAATGCACAGAATGGATTTTAGAATATTCCAACTGGGGCGCACCCCGTGGGGGTGAAAGGGGCGCATTTACATATGACAATTACCTTTTCATCACTGTTTCTCTCTACCGCTATTTTTTTGGACGTTGAAATGTGTATGTAGGTTCGTTTTATGTTGTAGATGTGCAAAAAGAAAATATTCTTTAATATTCCAACTCGGGCGTCAGCCGCGGGGAAAGAAGGCGCGTTTGTAAAATAAAGTTAGGTACCTTTTTACCATACCGGTATATTTTTGGAAGCTGAAATTTTGTATGTATGTTGGTTTTATGTTCCAGACGTGCAATAAAAAACGATTTTTGAATATTTCTAGTGAGACGCTTGATGACGGGAAAAGGCCCGCTTATAAATTTATCTTTAATATATCCTCTATCTCATATGTCCATTATGTAATTATTATGGCTCCTTACAGAATGTAACTAGATATTACAGATTTGAAGCGCATGGACATAGCGGTTGCGGCGGTACCGGGCCAGTTATATGTCGCTCCTTCGTGAGTAATCTTTAGAAAAAGCTGTTAACCTTGTATATATGAAGACATTCTGTAGTATAGTATCAGCGTTGCATCCGTGCGGAGCAGGTGCGGCCCGCTAGTGAACAGATACAAATTTTGCCCCCATTAACTTTTGTAGTAACCTGTATATTTCTTCAAATAACAACTTGAATTGATGCGGTATTACATAGTCCGGAATATAATGAATACATTTCTTGAAAATCAATCGTTTGAAATATTTCATTTAATAATTATGAAAGAACAGATTCACAACTACTGATATTCTAAATTTGAACATTATTTCATTCTCCAAATATCCATGATAACCTTGCTACATTCATTTGTTTCAATCAAGATAGATGAATCTCATAATTTCCCAAAATTATTCAATAAATCCTGGTTGAATGCAGAGATTGCTCCATTTTTGTGGTTATTACATACACGTGGGAAGGTAGAGTTTGCATCAATTCATCATAAATATTAGAGCTTTTTAATGAAATTCTATTAAAAATATTCATCCAAATTGCCAACAACACTTGTAATTATAAATTTTGCCTTCAAAATGAAAATATTAATGTTAAATGAAACTCACTTCATTCAAAACAGGAATTGAGTTATTCAGAAATGAGTTATGGAAGTGGAAAATATCCGAAAAAAGTATATTGTGGAAAATGAGAATTTCCAGCAAGATCCACAGAGAAACTCTTATTTCCTCCACAAAAAATGGTAGATCCACAGAGAAACAATTATTTTCTCCACAAAAAATGGTGAAATATATATTTCTCCATTGTTATTGTTAAAAAATATTATTATGAATGATTAGTGAAACACTCGGTATCTCTTGGAATTATTTTATTGTCGTATGACATCATTCCTAGTTAGACAAATATGAAGAAACTGGTTTAAGAATTCTATTTAAGGAAGGTGAAAGATCTAACATAACAAATAAATCTTGTCTTGAGTCATGCTCTTGGGTAAATGGTAGTTTTTAGTGAATATATGAAGACGGATTTTATCGATTTTCAGCCATATGATGAATTCATGGCCATTCTAACTTCGTTTTCTAGTTTGTAATCGTCTTGTTCAAGGAATAAAAGACATCGCAAAAGAAAAATGTGAAAGACTCCGAACAAGATTGCGTGGCTTTCACGTATTGTTTCATTACTTTCCTTACATCGGAAAAACCATAAGAGATGGACGCAGACATCACAGGAATTCAAACCAAAAAAAAATTTTACTCATTGGTGAGTTTGGAAGTATTCTCATCTTTGAGTTTTCCAATCCAAGTGGTTTGAAAAATCTATACAGAATTCTTATTATATTTCCAAACGTTATAACTAAAAAAATAAGCTTCTGAATATTTTTGTGGTATCCACAATGTTGCTGTACTGCAAGTAATGAAAGTTTTTCTAAAAGTCCATGACACTGAAATTTTTCAGTTTGCTTCAACACAAAAAAAGGAATAGAGTAATTTAGAAATTCAGTTCTTTTTGACATTACAGAGAGTTCGGAAATTGGTAAAATCAATGTCAAAAATGTTCCATAAATCAGCTGTGGTACAATAAAGGATCAGAGCACGGAATATCTAAAAAAAAGTATAAATATCAAATGCACATTATCTATCAAATAGTTGCCACAAAAACGTCCTGCATTGAAAATGTCAATTTAAAGGAAGTCCAAGTCGATATCCTATAAAAGATTATTCAGTGTGTAGAAGCCAAATGGAATAAATTCATTATTTCGGTTACGGTACATATTTTAACAAAATCCCGAAACACGTCAAATTTAAATTATAACTTGACATACTTCAACGGAAAAATGCTACCCCTACCTTCAATCCCCGTCGAATGACAGGTACAACCCCCCATTTTTTAAATGGGAAGTATAAACTTGTGATATATCGTTTGAAAGGTATCTTCATTCTCTATTCAAAAATGTTATAGCCTTCAAGTTTATTGCAAAAATTAGGATAGAATAATTTGAAGTCATGTGGTTACCGAAATTCGATAAAATACACTCAAAACTTATTACAATATACTCGAAACTTATTTCATGTTGAGGTACTGATAATGAGAAAGTAAACAAAAACCATAGCAATGTTCCTTTTAGATGGTCCTTGGATCCTTTGAAAAACTGTAAATAATTTCTGCGGCAACGTTAGTTCAAAACGCCTTGTGAACTTTTTTCATATATTACATTAGTTGTCAGTATTTCAATTCAAGTTTAAAGTTCGTTAATTTCAAGCCTGACGAATGGTTAAATTAAGGGAAATGCAGAAAATAAAACAGTTTTACAACTGATTGGTTACGGAGATGAAACCCGAGCACAACAGAAAGTAGCTGTCATGAGAAATGTCCTAATTTACCGCCCATATCTCAAGGAACAATGAGCAAAATAGAAAAGCAGTTTCGAAAGCTTGGTCATATGGGACAGATGAAAAAAGCAGTTGCCAATGCAATGAGTGATGAACTCAAATTAGATGTGATGCTTGAGTTTGAGGAAAACCCACATACATCGGGTAGACAGGCATTCACTACATTCATTGTTAGTTATACATCGATAGTAAACATATTGAAATAAAATAAAATGTTACCCTATAAAATGATACCTACTCAGTAGCTCATGAAAGACGATTTATACAGAAGAACTCTTTTTTGTGTGCAAATGATGGACATGTTGGATAACAATAGACGCTATAAAAAAGACGTTATGTTTTCGGCAAAATTGTCGCTACTGGTCAACGGATGAGAGAAGAAGGTTAATGTTTGGGCAGGGATTGTAGGAAACCATATCATTGGATCCTTTTTCAGTGAAGGCCCCTTGAATGGCGATATTTATTTGGCACTTCTTGAATATGATGTCATTCCAAGTTTAGCAAATTTATATCCTGATCCAGGAAACCCTCAAGTTCCAGTGAATACGATGTGTTAGTAGCAGGATGGAGCACCACCACATTACCAAGTTAATGTCCGACAATACCTCAATACAACATTTCCCAATTGGTGGATGGGGAGGCGAGGATCGATTGAATGGCCAGCGCGATCACCTGATCTGTCATCATTATATTTCTTTTTATGGAGATATGTAAAGAGCAATGTGTACAAAACTGAATCTTCAGATTTGAATGACTCAATTGTTGCAATAAATTAGAAAAAAATCTGTTTAAAATCTGTTTTTCCGTTAATCAGCTGTCGCCCCCATACGAACGACAACTCTCAGAAGTTGAGAAACTTGTGCGAGCTAAGGACTAACAAGGTCTTACCTTTTAACGTGTGATTCCTAACACGGTTGCACAATCATCCCAGCTTCAACCAGATAAATTCTCTCGAGAAAAATATTTGGTCGAGGCAGGAATCGAACCCACGATCTTCCGATCGTGAGTCGGGCGCACTACCACCGCGACCAATTCCACAAAGAAAGCAATAACATTTTGGAATAGAGAATGAAGATGCCTTTCAAACGATGTATCACAAACCTATACTTCCCATTTAGGAAATGAGAGGTTATATCTGTCATTCGACGGAGGTTTAAGGTAGGGGTGGCTTTTCGTTGAAGTATGTCAAATTTGACGGGTTTCTGGATTTTCTTAAAATATGTACCGTAACCGAAATAATGAATTTATTCCATTTGGCTTTCACACACTGTATAGTCGATTCTTTAGTTTGTTCAGTAGTACCGTAAAACAGTCAAATTTGCTACAACTTCTTAAATATGAGTTATGCCCATATTATTTCTCGAATACAACAGTATCAGTCTGCTCAATCTGCTTAAAGTGAGATATTGATGATA